CCCACGTAGACCGCGAAGGCCGGGTCCTCAGGAGGATGCAGCCCATGAATTTGGACACGACCAATGACTTGACCGTATTCTAATGGCCTCCACAACAGATCCTAGCCCAATAGAGCACCTCTGGGATGTGCTGGAACAAGAGATTCATGTCATGGATGCAGCTGACAAATCAGCAGCTGTGTGATGCTGTCACGTCAACATGGACCAAAGTCTCTGAGGAACGTTTGAATCGGAGAAATGAAGAATTAACACATCTCTGAAGGAAAAACTGGGTCCAGCCTGGTAAGTTGTACCTGATGAAGAGCATGTTCCTCTTTGTCGAGTCATCTGTTCACGTCCCCTCTTGTTATTCCCATCCAAACATCCATTTTTTTCTGCCTATCCGGCGTCGTGTGGCAGGGGCAGCAGCCTAAGCAGAGAAGCCCTGACGTCCCTCCAGCTTATCTCAAGGAACACCGATGCATTCCCGGCGCAGCTAAGAGATATATAACGCCTCCAGCATGTCCTGGGTCGGCCTCCTTCCTGTGGGACATGCCTCACCCAGGAGGCGTCCCTAATCAGACATCCAAAAGAGCAGCAGGTCTACACTGAGACCCTCTAAAATGTCTGAACTCCTCACCCTATTTCTAAGAGTGAACCTCGTCCACCCCAGCTGCCCGTCTACCAAGATGTTGGTACCTTGGTGGCCACTTGGTGCTGCTTGGTGTGACCTCGTCCCCGGACTCTGCTTCCTCTACAGAAGTCGTGCCGTTGGGATTAAGACCACCCGACTATATCCTCAGTTGAAGTCGCAGCACCCTGCCTCTGCTGTACGCAGCGAGTCGAGCACCGCTGAGTTGCCTGACGGTTTGCCAGAATCGCCTCAAGGAGTCTGAAAGTCTTGTTCCATGTGGCCTCACCAAACTCCTCCCACAACCGAGTTTTTGCTTCATCTACCGACCGAGTGGCGCTCTGCTTGCCCTGCTGGTACCCAGCAGCTGGATCTGAAGTCCCACTAACCAAGCCCGATAGCACGCCTTCTTCAGCTTGATGAAGAAGCTCCCTTCACCTCCGGGGTCCACTATTTGGTTTGTCACCATGACAACAGCAATGAAGGTGAAACATCTGCTTTAGGGAGCAGTTGGAGATCTGTCCAGCATCCTCCCACGCCACCCGATCCAACTCACCACCGGTGATCAGATGACAGCTCAGCTCCTCTCTTTGCCCGAGTGTCCAGAATTAAAACTTGCTTCCTTTTACATATTTAAATTTGAATATTGGTCAAAAATGTGAAATGAGTCGATGATGTCGGTGCCTGTCACAAAGCTCTCTGACATGTGGAGACACAAATGTCACGATGAAAGGAAAGCAGATGAAAGAAACTGAAAATATCTTTGACATTTCTGTTCAGATCAATCACAGCTTTACTCTTTCATTTCTCAGAGGTTTTTCTTTTGCTGTTACACGTT